TAGCAATATACGCCCACTAGCAGCTTTGATTTTAAATAAAAATATTTGGCAGTACAGTAACAACCTTCTAGAGTGTTTTCAGGCTAAAACTTGAACGCGTTTTAAAGAACAAGGGCAATAACAAACTCTCACATTAAGTTTGGTCAAAATCCATCAAGAATTGTGCCTTCTAGAGTGTTTTCGGCTAAAAATTGAACTCGTGTTCAAGAACAAGGGCAATAACTCATACTTACTCACACCAAGTTTCGTCAAAATCTGTCAGAAGGGACGAGTCGACTCAGCTTTAAAACATTTTACTCCTTTCATCGCGCCTTGTCTGCAGGTGTTGATATGTTTGCTCAAGATATCGAGAAGGGTGCTATCTGTTGCGTGTACTCTCCAGTCATTACTTTCCTTCATTTCGGAGCTAAAATTAGTTATAGTCCAAAATTTTGCTTGAAAGCAATCGTGGTGGCTCAAAATAGTCTCGTTAAGTGTTGGTTGTGCTACTTTGAGTCGTACTGAGGATAAGGACACCTTGTTGTAAGCACGGGCTACCTTGGGACATGATGATATTCTTCATTCAGTCGTCATTGTTGAACTTGAATTATCCTATGCAGGGGCGGCGATCCGTTTTGCAAACAGAGAGGGGGGGGGGGGCACATCTTTTTGGGCTCCTGGTCGAAGGGGCAGGCCCGTAGCTTGCCAAGTCCTTTTTTGGGGGGGGGGGGGGGGGTGGTCATACGTCCAATCAAGGGGTGCAGTTTAGGTATACAACCTATCCTCCCGGAAGACTTTGTGAATTGTTAAGTATGACAGTGGTGCTCTCTATAGAGTTATTGCTATCTTTATTGCTGCCGATGTCGCCCATTGGATGGCTGGAAACACGATTTTCTGAAGTCTAGGGACCCCCTCTAGAAGATTCAAGATACGCGATTTCTTGACATTACCTGGCCAATTTAAGGTTTATTTGTAAAGGGACTGTGGGACACTACAAGAAAATTTTGAGAATTTGCCGCCCCGAAACGCGACTTCCCGACATTTCCTGGCAAATTTAGGGTTTATTTGTCTAGGGACTATGGGACAAGATTGTATATTTAACTTCTCCTTAGCTACGGGCCTGCGAAGGGGGGACAGGAAGGAGGGTATCGCAGATATAGTTTTGGGTCAGTTTGTAGGACAAGGGAACAGTTTGAAACGACAATTAAAAGGCAATAAACATTAGTTAGCCTTCTTTTTCAGGGGGGGGGGGGGGGGGGGGGGGGGGGCATTAAATATAATGTCCCGTCCCCACCAGGATCGCCGCCCATAATTCTATGTGTAGTCTACCATCTGAATTTTTAAGAAGTCAGAAGGTTATAATTGGTGATTCAATTGAATGGAAAGGTGCAATTAACAGGTTCCAAAAACCTCTATTTGTTTTGATTCATGTGGGTACGAATGATATTAATAAGCCCTACCTCCCACAGACTGAGTATTGAATCAAGATTATAAGAATATTGAAATTTTAAGAAATGTAATTAAGTCATTTAAGATGTCTCATGGAATATCGCAAGTTCTGAATATGGGTAAAAATAACTTAAATGGGAGGATTATGAATATAACTTAACATTTTGAAACACTTTTTAGTGAATTAAATGTTAAGTGGCTTCGGCATAACATTGATAAAACTGGCCTCCAGGATGGTTTGCATTTAAATGTGAAAGGTGTACCGATGTTTGAAGAGGACATTCGGACATTTTTTAAAGACCTAATGCTTCACTTGGCCAAGGCAAAGTCGGGACAGCCTCTTTTCTTGGGGGTTTGGGAGCGGGATATAATTATCAAATTCTTTTACAATACTTATTCTGTACATTTTATATAACAAACAATCTACTGTTTCCATTCATATAATTATCCCATTCTTTTACGATACTTATTCTGTACATTTTCTATAACAAACAATCTACTGTTTCCATTCATATAATTATCCCATTCTTTTACAATACTTATTCTGTACATTTTATATAACAAACAATCTACTGTTTCCATTCATACAATTATCCCATTCTTTTACAATACTTATTCTGTACATTTTATATAACAAACAATCTACTGTTTCCATTCATATAATTATCCTATAATACTTATTCTGTATAGTTTATTTAACAAACAATCTACTGTTTCCATTCATATAATTATCCCATTCTTTTATAATACTTTGTCTGTACATTTTATATAACAAACAATCTACTGTTTCCATTCACATAATTATCCCATTCTTTTACAATACTTATTCTGTACAGTTTATATAACAAACAATCTACTGTTTCCATTCATATAATTATCCCATTCTTTTACAATACTTATTCTGTACAGTTTATATAACAAACAATCTACTGTTTCCATTCACATAATTATCCCATTCTTTTACAATACTTATTCTGTACATTTTATATAACAAACAATCTACAGTTTCCATTCATATAATTATCCCATTCTTTTACAATACTTATTCTGTACATTTTATATAACAAACAATCTACAGTTTCCATTCATATAATTATCCCATTCTTTTACAATACTTATTCTGTACATTTTATATAACAAACAATCTACTGTTTCCATTCATATAATTATCCCATTCTTTTACAATACTTATTCTGTACATTTTATATAACAAACAATCTACAGTTTCCATTCATATAATTATCCCATTCTTTTACAATACTTATTCTGTACAGTTTATATAACAAACAATCTACTGTTTCCATTCATATAATTATCCCATTCTTTTACAATACTTATTCTGTACATTTTATATGACAAACAATCTACAGTTTCCATTCATATAATTATCCCATTCTTTTACAAGACTTATTCTGTACAGCTTATATAACAAAAAATCTACTGTTTCCATTCATATAATTATCCCATTCTTTTACAATACTTATTCTGTACATTTTATATGACAAACAATCTACTAGTTTCCATTCATATAATTATCCCATTCTTTTACAATACTTATTCTGTACATTTTATATGACAAACAATCTACAGTTTCCATTCATATAATTATCCCATTCTTTTACAATACTTATTCTGTACATTTTTATGACAAACAATCTACAGTTTCCATTCATATAATTATCCCATTCTTTTACAATACTTATTCTGTACAGTTTATATAACAACCAATCTACTGTTTCCATTCATATAATTATCCCATTCTTTTATAATACTTTGTCTGTATATTTTATATAACAAACAATCTACAGTTTCCATTCATATAATTATCCCATTCTTTTATAATACTTTGTCTGTACATTTTATATAACAAACAATCTACAGTTTCCATTCATATAATTATCCCATTCTTTTATAATACTTATTCTGTACATTTTACATAACAAACAATCTACAGTTTCCATTCATATAATTATCCCATTCTTTTACAATACTTATACTGTACATTTTATATAACAAACAATCTACTATTTCCATTCATATAATCATCCCATTCTTTTATAATACTTATTCTGCACATTTTATATAACAAAAAATCTACAGTTTCCATTCATATAATTATCCCATTCTTTTACAATACTTATTCTGTACATTTTATATGACAAACAATCTACAGTTTCCATTCATATAATTATCCCATTCTTTTACAAGACTCATTCTGTACAGCTTATATAACAAAAAATCTACTATTTCCATTCATATAATTATCCCATTCTTTAATAATACTTATTCTGTACATTTTATATGACAAACAATCTACAGTTTCCATTCATATAATTATCCCATTCTTTTACAATACTTATTCTGTACATTTTATATGACAAACAATCTACAGTTTCCATTCATATAATTATCCCATTCTTTTACAATACTTATTCTGTACATTTTATATGACAAACAATCTACAGTTTCCATTCATATAATTATCCCATTCTTTTACAATACTTATTCTGTACATTTTTATGACAAACAATCTACAGTTTCCATTCATATAATTATCCCATTCTTTTATATTACTTATTCTGTACAGTTTATATTACATTCTACAGCAGCTATGCTGTATATAATATTATCCTCGCATGTAGTCTGCTTAATTTAAACTTGAATTATATCTTCCTCTAGCAGCTTATGGTATTGTTACTGAATAGTTTGGGGAGGGTACCAGCTGGTTTATTCTATCAACAGTACTTAATTCCACAGTTGAATAATTTGATTTTGATGCGAAATGAGGCATCGCAATATTGTTAATATTTTTACAATTTAAACAGGTTTTGTGACACCCTTATGAATGATGCTAATTTGGTATATTTTGAAACACAGACAGGCTGATGACTCTGCTGATGGACACCAGTTTTGTAAATAGATTACATTCCTTACTTACTCCAACATTAAAAATTTAATGAATTTGAGCTCCATTATGATGATCCTTACAGCAGGATAGAGCATGTTGAACCTTCCAGAATGCCTGACGTCACTCAGCGTTATTATCATTTTCCCATCTATACCACCAATGGAGTATGTAGTAAAGTGCCTTAAAGAAGTATTTCTGAAATAATGTTTTAAAATCTTGCCTATAAATTAGAAACAAGTACTTTCTTTAAAAGCTTCCTTGTAATAGTTATATCTGATTGAAGATTGTTACTAGATTTTAATATTGTTTTTACTCTTTAATTTAAATATAACCGCCAATGCATACATTTCCATTAAATTCAAGAAACTCAAACCAAACGAAGAGTGGCATCGGGCATTCTGGAAATAACCTACCTTTCTACCAACACCTGTCACCTGAACACATATTGGAGCTCTAATTCAATAAGTTTATGACCTTGGACTCAGGAATTGAAACTAAAAAGTTGACAGTCAAAATGTTCACCAGTAGGGTCACTAGCCTATTTGTGAGTAATAGATATACCAAATAATCAGCATTAGCCACATGAAGTTAATCCTATTTAATGTCCATTCTCAAAGAACTCAAGCCGCCCACAAAGAGCTTCCAATAGGCGAAAAAGGGGAATTTACCAAAGTCGTGACAGACATCTTTTGAAAGATCCCCAAAAGGTGTTATCTTCCACTTGTTGTTGTTGGAAGATAACCCTCTTGACGGATCCCCAAAAGGTGTCTACCACTTTCTCTTGTGGGAGAATTGCTCTCTTAAAACAACCCCAGTAGCTGTTATCTACGATTTCTTCCACATGAAAGTAGTAAGAAACTCCATAGTACACTGAAATACATCAAATAATGATATTGTGAAAATAGGAGGCTACACCAAAACTTTGGTCTGCTTAGCGGAAGATCTAAGCATAAATGCTAAGCCCATGATTTTGTAAATGTGTGACCATCTCCCCACCATCAGACATGCAGACTGGTATTGGAACTGGTCATGGTGACAAACGAATCACTTCTGGCAAAATCTTAGGAAAACAAATGGGAATGGGAATCTATAGGCTAGCTATAGACTAAAGGTTATAGAATTGAAATTCTGAAGTAAAAGCTTAGAGTGACTTGTTTTCTATGCCCCAGCTTTACTCTGGAGGGACAACTACTAAATACTTACCAATACATCCAAGGAGTAATCCAGCGAATACTACTTTAATCAGCCATTTAATCAGTGATTTTACTTTGATGGCATCGATCTCTTCTATTTCACTTGGATAATCAGAATCATCAAGATCTGAGTTTGTATAGTCTGAATCAGTATCATCTTCAGAGTAATCATAAGCTGTATAATAGAATAACAACAGCAGGATAATAATCATTACAATTTAGTGTAAAGTCATAATGGTATATCAATAACAAAGATCCTGAGAAGGCTATCAGTTTATAAAACCGGTCGTGATTTCCTCTCGACTCAAAAAATGTGAACAGACCGACGATATAATATATAGCAGAAACTGTAAAATTTTGTAAATCGGTCAACATCAAAACAGCAGTATTACCTTCCTCATCAGATGAATCTGGGACAGCAAATGATACGGATTTAGTATTTTTCTTTTGTTTAGTTGAATCAAATGTCCGAGCAGTCTTCAATATCGATGGCGCTCGTTTTCCAGCTACAATAATCAAAATTGAAATAGATTCGATTTAAGTTATTATAGTCAGCACGAGATCATGGAGTTCCTTCTCAAAGTTATTTAATAACAATAATCCTTGTTAACGGATACATGGGTTTATAATGGTAATATAATTATACTTAAAGAATTAACAATACACAGTGTGATTGATGGAAACTCTCCTACTTTTCACCCACGCAATATCAATTTTATACGCCCACATGAAATGGGGGGCGTATATTGCCGTCACCCATGTCCGTCCGTCGGTCGGTCCGTCCGTCCACAATTGCTCGTAAACACTCTACAAGACACAATTCTTGATTTTGACAAAACTTGGTATTAGTGTTCGTAATCACCCAAGGATGAACCCTATTGAAAATCAGAAGAATCGAAAAATATTTAGTATAAGTTATTGCCCTGGTTTTTGAAAACGCGTTCAATTTTCAGCTCGTAAACACTCTAGAAGGCACAATTCTTGATGGATTTTAACGAAACTTTGCATGAGTGTTCGTAATCACCCAAGGATGAACCCTATTGACAATCAGAAGTATCGAAAAATATTTAATATGAGTTATTGCCCTTGTTCTTGAAAACGCGTTCAATTTTTAGCTCGTAATCGCTATAGAAGGCACAATTCTTGACGGATTTTGATGAAACTTGGTGTGAATGTTCGGAATCACCCAAGGATAACCCGATTGAAAATCAGAAGAATTGAAAAATATTTAGTATGAGTTATTGTCCTTGTTCTTGAAAGGCTTTCAAATTTAGCTCTTAAACACTAAAAGACATGATTCTTGTAGGATTTTGACAAAACTTGGTTTTTAATTATTCAGTCCCGCGCTGAAGATTGAATATTTGAGTTTTCACGAGCTAAAAATTTTCAAGAACAAGGGCAATAACTCATACTCATTATTATTCAGTATCGACCTTAAGAGTTCAAAAGAAGTGTATGACTGAAGGTTGAATATTTCATACTGCTGATTGTGACTATACTGCTAAATATTTTTATTCAAAATCAAAGCTGCCAGTGGGTGTATATTACCTTGCCTGGCAAGCTATCTTTAAGTTACGTTTTAGACTAGCCGAACAACATCGGACTGAATGGTAAACGGTTTCGTCTATAGAACCTAGCTGGTGATAGCATGGACATAAATATTTATACTTACTCCATTGTGCATTATCTTTTTCTGTACCGATAATCTCTGAAAATGTTTTACCCCCACCGAAGATCTTTTCTTGTGGAAAGGTAGTTTTTAACACTCCATGGTTCCATTTGAATGTTCCATTTACGAATGCAGTTTCCTTGGTTTTGCCAGCATATTGTTGTTGCGAACCTATCTTATCTAACATAAGATGATCTAAAATATAAAACAAAAAATAGATGTCAAGCTCAATCTGGATATCTCGTTTCTTGTTTTACTATAGAAGTTACTTCATTCAAACTTTGATTTGACGGGGATCTTCATTAAATCGTCTTTTGTGAATTTGACACATAGACATGAAGAACAAAACGTTGTCATAATAAATTCTAACCAGTTAAAACATTCATATTTGCATTTTAATCATTGGTTGATGCTTTGCTGTGCTGATAACTTAATTAGATATTGGCAATATTGTCCATTTTAGAAAAAAATTTCTATTGGCATTTTACTAGTGTATGAATTCACAGCCCGAGTTCCAAGATCAACAAGAACTATTGAAATATCTTGCATCATGGATAAATGTTTCTAATTCAGAGTCTGTACAATGCAAAGAATAAAAAAATAAATAAATAAATAAATAAAAAATAACAATACCTTCTTTTCCCAGAGCAGGAAAAGTTGGTTTTCGAGACAATTGTCTTTTAGCTGTAGATCTATAATAGGCTGTAGGTTGTGATAGGAGTTTCTGTTGAGTATTACCCCCCTCTTCATCTGACATTGAAAAACAAAAATAATTTGATTTATTCCATATTCCATATAAGGTGCCCACACCACACCCCCATTTGTCATATTTCCTGGTTAATGATACCATGTCAATACCCGTATTCGTGATACGATGCACAATGCGTACCGTACTGCAGCCCAGTACATCTTTTGAAATAAGTTGTTAGTAGTATAGATAAGCTCTTGACCAATTGAATTAATCGTAGAATTATTGGTCTGCTACCAGAGATATTCTGAACATCTGTCTTATACCAGCCTTAGCAACAATAGATCTACACTAGGCGAAAGTTTACTGTAAAAATCTCGTTTATTTTCCGTTAGTTTTTCCTGAAACTTGTATCATGTATTGAAATAAAGACGACTCAATAATTGTTTCTTATATAATTTAAATACTTACCAGTTTTTTCCATAGTTGTAGGCCAACTTGGTGACTGCCAAACTTGGTCCGCCATTTCTATTATTGATGAAGTAACAGAGCTTGCTATTGTGACGTAACGTCAAAACGTCGTTTTAATGTCAAAGCCCTATTAGCCTTATTTGCATTTGCTTATTGTTAGTAATATTGTCAATTATATTACAGGTTTTATGGTATGAAACAATTGTATTAAAGAGGCATTATGCAAAATTTCCACAATCGAAAAGTTGTAAATAATACCTCTAGCCTATTTTATTCTAAAGTATGCTATTTTTGTCTATGTATCTAATCTAATGTAACAAACTAAATTTGTTTTAAAAACAGAGAGTACTAATTGTTAATAAATCAGTTTGGATAAGTTTTGGTGTTTTATAATGACTGGATATTAGTTGTAACCTTAGGAAATACTTCTGGGAATTTAGCTATTATTTAATATTTCAGGAACTTAATATGTTCTCTTCTTGTGACCATGGCCAGTGCTTTTATAGGAGGGTATCTTCTATAACAATATCATGTGTGACATGTTCACATGCTATAGCCTACTTTATAACCAAAGCATTATGAAAAATGAATATTGAATTTGGTGATGATCATAATATTTTTTCATTAATTTATAGTATTTCACTTGGCTTGGAGGGTTCCTTCGGCAAGACTCTTGTTAATACCCACTACACAGGCTATATTCTTGACAGACTAATTTCAATGCTGATAAATAAGGTCTTTATATAATGAGAATAAACAAAACAAAACGAAAACAAAACAAAGTAAATGTTGTAAATATTTTTACTGTGAAGACAGAGAGTAGTCGTTCTATGAAATAAATAGTACAGTGACTTTAATACATTTCATTAAATAGTATATTTAACATGCGAAAATATAAATTATTAACACAATATATTGGCATACATGGGAAAGGGACAATAAAATATTACAATCTTTAATAAGTGATAGGCGATTACTTCTGTTTTGTAAAACCATCTAATTCCACATAAATTTCTCTCAACCACCCAGCATATTCAGCAGATTGGTCTAAACGTTCTAATAAAGGACAATTTGGTAGGTAAATACCAGAGGGATCTTGAAATGATACCATATTATCAGCTATTTTCTGCGCCATGATTTTATACTTCTCATTTCCTGTAGCTCTGGCAACAAGAGCAGCACCATAACCTACTTTATGTGTTTTATAATATTTATATATATTAGGATGGCAGGTATCGGCAAAATCCAAAATAGCACAAGCTGTATTTAAGAAATGTTTTTGTGCTGTAGCTAGATACAGTTTTTGAAGAAATATTGCTGGGAAACCAAGCTGGTAATATCTGTTATCTGCTTCTGTTCTGACAACAGAGAAAAAAGTTCTATCCTCTGCTGAGTAACCTTCTGCCACCAGCTCTCCTGTTGAAGAATCCATTTTCATGAGGAATTCCTTATCAAGATTAGGCTGTTTAGCCACAAACTGACACAGAATTTCACCGGCTGCTTTTGCTCTTTCCCAATCTGAAATAATATAATACAGTATATTATCATGTCAAGATATAATACCTGTAGAACTAACTTATTTTCTGTCTTTTTAAGTGTATCGGGGATTCGCACTGTTTGCGCTATATTTCGATTCTTGCATAACGTTTTTTTTTGGCCCCTGTTATTCCTCAGATTATGTCGTTGAGTTTTGGGGCTACAAAATAATTTGGCCTACCAATAAGTTTAAAACGACAGATGGTATAAATATTTCCAAATACTCTTTCAGAATTAACAATTAAGAATTCAAGTCTTACCACCAACAGTTAATGCAGTATATCCCAGATGGGCTGTCATAAAGGCGCACATAGACTGGTCAATCCCTTCGCCACCTTTACTGCTATCGTAAGCCTCTCTCCATAAAAATCCACCACGAACTGGGTGAAAGAAAGTTTTAACATAATCATACGCTGGTCTTGAAATATCAAATCTTGCCGCTCTTTGTGACGCAACTACCATCCATCCATTTACGTAAGGCCAGTTATAAGCAAGGAGCCAGAGCGATGTTTTACGCTGCCATCCAGTTTTACTTCTATCAGATTCAAAATCACCATTTGGAGCCAGAAACCTACAAGTGATGTGCACAAAATCAAAGTTTCGCGAGAAGAAAACTGACATGGCAACATCATAGAATGACAAAAATACATCCGATTAGCCAAGCAGTTGTAGAGACTGTTGTTGTGAAACCAGTACTCTTGCGGAGAAGACAAACTCTATAAACAAGTTTATCAAAACTTGTGCAACGAACAATCTAGGCTTTTGTCCAAAAAAGCTATATGCATTTTAAGGTAAATTTGTTCTTTTTCCCAACCTTTCTTTGATATCGTCTAAAACTTTATTACAGAGAGCTTCTTGCCCACTCAATAGCAGTTGATTTGGTAGTTTATAGATAGCAGATATTTCATTCTTTGTGTCTTCTTCTGGTTGTTGACCTTTCTCGTTTAATCTTCCAGCTAGAAATTTCACAGCTTTTAAACTGGATTCCAGATATTCCATTGTTTCGGTCTAAATCTTCTAAAATTGAAAGTTGAAAAGTTATAGGTTTGCGTTCCATTTCGTTACCACTTTGATTTCTCTATTCTATTTTACTCTCTATGTTAGGTTCCATATCTGTTAGCACTCGGCTTTCCTAGTCTTTTCTCTCCGCTTCCATGTTAACCTCCATGATCCTGCTTCTGCATAATGCATTCTAAATAACTAAATAATCTGCACAATCATGACTATGTGTTTGGATTCCGTTGGAGGATATCAACTGAAGACTACCTTTACTAGTAATATAGAATTGGGCTTGACAGATTCTCAGATTGAAGTATATGTATACTTACGAAGTATATTTTCAGTCCGCCTCGTTGTAAAGTTGATAATAAAGACCTTGAGTATATCATTTATCAGTGACCTGATATTATAATCTTGACTGTAGTATTGGCCAACTCTCTTATCTTATCACTATAGTGTGTGTGTATCAATGTTTTCCTCTTAACATAACTTTCCAATTGGTGGCAAATTAGGCCGATTACCTAAATTTGGTAACGCAGATCATTATTTTTCAAAATGTAGAAAGTCTAGCAGTCTAGAAAATCATGATACTACTCTTTCTTCCATACCTTTAGGCTCTGATAAAGGTTGACCTGGCAAACAGGCACCAGGGAATTATAATATAGGCTAATATATGCATATATCTCCCCTCATGTTTGGCTCATTTGATGTTAACACAATTATTAACATTACAAATGACGTAAACAAAATGATATAAAACAAGTACAAAATTATAATAATAATAAAACTAAATTACACCTGATTATACTAAACAAGTCCATAAACATAAAGATGGGGGAACAACACCGCCACTGCACATACTGAACTATTTTAAAACAAGACAGTATTTGAATACATGAAATTGAATAATTAAACAATTGTTAATTATGGGTATGTTTTTATTTTCTTTTTTTTGAGTTGCTATCCGTAACAGCACTAATTCCTATTGATGCTGTCAAGTATTGATCTTACAATGTTGAATCCATTTGATGTATTATGTCACTTAAGATGATAAGCCCACAAATTTTCAAAATCCTATTCCCACGTCGCATACGTCCATTGATAATGATTATGACCAAAATTATCTTACTCTCTCAATTGCTGTGGGTATTGAACGGGACAACAAAGAGTATTGAGCCTTCATTATGGTGAATATCAAGTCCTATTGGTCTAGCTGTATTTATTGTCATAATCCAAAGGAAAATGAATCTTCTGTGTATACAGACTTTATTGAAGAAGTGAAGTTTTGTGAATCTACTCAGAAATATGACGTTAAGCTACCATTTAAAGAATGCTATCCAGTATTACCAGATGGATACTCAGAGTCCTATCGACGTTTTGGTTCATTATTACATCGACCGATAAACAATAAACAAGAAATCCTGGAAGAAAACAATAGAATTAAAGAAGTGGGCCTAACTCTATGGCCTAGCTTAAACGACTGTTTATATGCAGGCCCTTCCTTTAATCTACTTATATTTTACATTTAATTCGGTTTAGAATGAAGTGTATTGTAGTAAACGAGATATCCAGAAAGCTTTTCTAAACATTTCCATAGCTCCAAAACACAGAGACTTTTATGGGTAGATAATGCTTTTAGTGAAGATCCAGTTATCCAGACTATGATATCCCAATCTAAATGCTACCATTCGTCACCATTTATAATCTAAATATTCAGAGGATTCCAACTTTGTAAAAAGCCTTTGAAAGTCTTTGTATGTTGATGATTTCGCATCAGTGTCAAATAATGTTCGGTATAATACGTTTGATTTGTGTAGGAAAGTTAGATGGAGTTTATTTAATGGTGGTTTTAACATGAGAAAGTTGTTTGATTGAAAATAATAACTTTTACTGAATGTGAGAAGATTAAAATTCCAGTTGTTTTGTTCAAGATTGGTTTTCAGTCAATATGTAAGAAAGGTCTACATTGAGATGATCCAGTAGATGACAAGTTTTGTGACTATTGCAATGAACAGTAGCTTTAAGATGTTTCATTCAGAAATCTTTTTCCACACATATAATAATAATAATAACAATTAATAATAATAATAATAATAAAAATTCTTAGAAATCTACAGTTTCTATGTACACAATGATCCCATTCTTGTACAATACTTATTCTGTACAATTTATATGACAAACAATTTACAGTATCCATTTTTACAATTATCCCATTCTTTTACAATACTTATTCTGTACAGTTTATATAACAAACAATCTAATGTTTCTATGTATATAATTATCCCATTCTTTTACAATACTTATTCTGTACATTTTATATAACAAACAATCTACTGTTTCCATTCATATAATTATCCCATTCTTTTACCATTCTTCTTCTGTACATTTTCTATAACAAACAATCTACTGTTTCCATTCATATAATTATCCCATTCTTTTATAATACTTATTCTGTACATTTTATATAACAAACAATCTACAGTTTCCATTCATATAATTATCCCATTCTTTTACAAGACTTATTCTGTACATTTTATATAACAAACAATCTACAGTTTCCATTCATAAAATTATCCCATTCTTTTATAATACTTATTCTGTACATTTTATATAAAAACAATCTACAGTTTCCATTCATATAATTATCCCATTCTTTTACAAGACTTATTCTGTACAGTTTATATAACAAACAATCTACTGTTTCCATTCATATAATTATCCCATTCTTTTACAATACTTATTCTGTACATTTTATATAACAAACAATCTACTGTTTCCATTCATATAATTATCCCATTCTTTTATAATACTTTGTCTGTACATTTTATATAACAAACAATCTACAGTTTCCATTCATATAATTATCCCATTCTTTTACAAGACTTATTCTGTACAGTTTATATAACAAACAATCTACTGTTTCCATTCATATAATTATCCCATTCTTTTACAATACTTATTCTGTACATTTTATATAACAAACAATCTACTGTTTCCATTCATACAATTATCCCATTCTTTTACAATACTTATTCTGTACATTTTATATAACAAACAATCTACTGTTTCCATTCATATAATTATCCCATTCTTTTACAATACTTCTTCTGTAAATTTTATATAACAAACAATCTACTGTTTCCATTCATATAATTATCCCATTCTTTTATAATACTTTGTCTGTACATTTTATATAACAAACAATCTACAGTTTCCATTCACATAATTATCCCATTCTTTTATAATACTTTGTCTGTACATTTTATATAACAAACAATCTACAGTTTCCATTCATATAATTATCCCATTCTTTTACAATACTTCTTCTGTACATTTTATATAACAAACAATCTACTGTTTCCATTCATATAATTATCCCATTCTTTTATAATACTTTGTCTCTACATTTTATATAACAAACAATCTACAGTTTCCATTCATATAATTATCCCATTCTTTTATAATACTTATTCTGTACATTTTACATAACAAACAATCTACAGTTTCCAGTCATAAAATTATCCCATTTTTTTATAATACTTATTCTGTACAGTTTATATTACAAACAATCTACAGTTTCCATTCATATAATTATCCCATTCTTACAATACTTATTCTGTACAGTTTATATTACAAACAATCTACAGTTTCCATTCATAAAATTATCCCATTTTTTTATAATACTTATTCTGTACAGTTTATATAACAAACAATCTACAGTTTCCATTCATATAATTATCCCATTCTTTTATATTACTTATTCTGTACAGTTTATATAACAAACAATCTACTGTTTCCATTCACATAATTATCCCATTCTTTTACAATACTTATTCTGTACAGTTTATATAACAAACAATCTACTGTTTCCATTCATATAATTATCCCATTCTTTTATATTACTTATTCTGTACAGTTTATATTACATTCTACAGCAGCTATGCTGTATATAATATTATCCTCGCATGTAGTCTGCTTAATTTAAACTTGAATTATATCTTCCTCTAGCAGCTTATGGTATTGTTACTGAATAGTTTGGGGAGGGTACCAGCTGGTTTATTCTATCAACAGTACTTAATTCCACAGTTGAATAATTTGATTTTGATGCGAAATGAGGCATCGCAATATTGTTAATATTTTTACAATTTAAACAGGTTTTGTGACACCCTTATTAATGATGCTAATTTGGTATATTTTAAAACACACTAATGACTCTGCTGATGGACACCAGTTTTGTAAATAGATTACATTCCTTACTTACTCCAACATTAAAAATTTAATGAATTTGAGCTCCATTATGATGATCCTTACAGCAGGATAGAGCATGTTGAACCTTCCAGAATGCCTGACGTCACTCAGCGTTATTATCATTTTCCCATCTATACCACCAATGGAGTATGTAGTAAAGTGCCTTAAAGAAGTATTTCTGAAATAATGTTTTAAAATCTTGCCTATAAATTAGAAACAAGTACTTTCTTTAAAAGCTTCCTTGTAATAGTTATATCTGATTGAAGATTGTTACTAGATTTTAATATTGTTTTTACTCTTTAATTTAAATATAACCGCCAATGCATACATTTCCATTAAATTCAAGAAACTCAAACCAAACGAAGAGTGGCATCGGGCATTCTGGAAATAACCTACCTTTCTACCAACACCTGTCACCTGAACACATATTGGAGCTTTAATTCAATAAGTTTATGACCTTGGACTCAGGAATTGAAACTAAAAAGTTGACAGTCAAAATGTTCACCAGTAGGGTCACTAGCCTATTTGTGAGTAATAGATATTCCAAATAATCAGCATTAGCCACATGAAGTTAATCCTATATCATGTCCATTCTCAAAGAAGTCAAGCCGCCCACAAAGAGCTTCCAATGGGCGAAAAAGGGGAATTTACCAAAATCGTGACAGACCTCTTTTGAAAGATCCCCAAAAGGTGTTATCTACCACTTGTTGTTGTTGGAAGATAACCCTCTTGACGGATCCCCAAAAGGTGTCTACCACTTTTTCTTGTGGGAGAATTGCTCTCTTAAAACAACCCCAGTAGCTGTTATCTACGATTTCTTCCACATGAAAGTAGTAAGAAACTCCATAGTACACTGAAATACATCAAATAATGATATTGTGAAAATAGGAGGCTACACCAAAACTTTGGTCTGCTTAGCGGAAGATCTAAGCATAAATGCCAAGCCCATGATTTTGTAAATGTGTGACCATCTCCCCACCATTAGACATGCAGACTGGTATTGGAACTGGTTATGGTGATATTGTCCATACGAATCACCTCTGACGAAATCTTAGGAAAACAAAAGGGAATCTATAGGCTATCTATAGATTAAAGGTTATAGAATTGAAATTCTGAAGTAAAAGCCTAGAGTGACTTGTTTTCTATGCCCCAGCTTTACTCTGGAGGAACAACTACTAAATACTTACCAATACATCCAAGGAGTAATCCAGCGAATACTACTTTAATCAGCCATTTAATCAGTGATTTTACTTTGATGGCATCTTCGATCTCTTCTATTTCACTTGGAGAGGCAGAATCATCAAGATCTGAGTTTGTATAGTCTGAATCAGTATCATCTTCAGAGTAATCATAAGCTGTATAATAGAATAACAACAGCAGGATAATAATCATTACAATTTAGTGTAAAGTCATAATGGTATATCAATAACAAAGATCCTGAGAAGGCTATCAGTTTATAAAACCGCCCGTGATTTCCTCTCGACTCAATAGTGGATATTTTGTTACACGAACCAAATCTTGATGCACCATCAGCCATTTTGTTTGAATATACATGCATACTAAGTTTCATGGAGATCGGATAAAATCTGTAGTCTCCATCGTGCCTACAAGGCGTTTTTAAAGTCAAGGGCAATAACTCCGAAACCGTTCATCCGAATTTTACCAATTTTGAACTGAGGTATCATCAATATATATTTGCATATACCAAGTTTCATAAAAATCAGATAAGATAGATTGCCAGGCAAGGTAACATACATCCACTACCAGCTGTCAGAAATAATAACAGTCTGTAGTGGCTTAATGAATTTTCAAATAATCTTAAAATCATCTGTAAGTCAAGGCAAAAACCTGAATCGGTTCATCAAATTATCATCAAATTCAAACATGAACAATGTCTCATCGCTGTACACACAAATGCAATGCCTCTGAAACTGGTCAACCGAGTATGACCAATTTCTAACTTGACCGCGATATCATCAATGCATATGTCACGGTAGAAACTACCAAGTTTTGTCAATATCAGATGAAAACTGTAGTCTCTATCTTGCCTACAAGTCAAACTTAACGAGTTTTTACTACGTCAAGGGCAATAGCTCTGAAACAATTCATCTGATTATTACCATATTAGAACTTGACCTAGATCTCATCAATATGTACCAAGCTTCATAAAGATATGTAAAAACTCTAGGCAATATGGTGTTTACAAAAAATGTGAACAGACGGACGGACAGGGGCGACGGCAATATACGTCCACATTTTCACATGGGAGTATAAAAACTAGTCCAATCAGATGATAATCTATAATTGAATCCATATATATAGCTGAAATTGTAAAATTATGGTAAATGGGTCAACATCAAATCAGCTTTACCTTCCTCGTCAGATGAATTTGGGACAGCAAATGATACGGATTTAGTATTTTTCTTTTGATTAGTTGAATCAAATGTCTTCAAAATCGAAGGCGCTCGTTTTCCAGCTGCAATATCAGAATTGAAATAGATTCGATTTAAGTTATTACAAGTAGTCCAGAAGTTCTCTGACAAGTTTAGATTATTAAACCTATTGGCACGAGAGTTCCTTGTTAACTGATACATGGGTGTTCAAATGGTTTTGTAAAATGTAAGTCGACATATATTTTATACTTAAAACATTAACAATACACAGTGTGATTGATGAAAACTCTCCTTTCCTTTCTCACCCACGCAATGTCATTTTTATACGCCCACATGAAATGGGGGGCGTACATTGCCGTCACCAATGTCGGTCCGTCCACAATTGCTCGTAAACACTCTACAAGACACAATTCTTGACGGATTTTGACAAAACTTGGTATGAGTGTTCGTAATCACCCAAGGATGAACCCTATTGAAAATCAGAAGAATCGAAAAATATTTAGTATGAGTTATTTCCCTTGTTCTTGAAAACGCGTTCAATATTTAGCTTGTAAACACTCTAACTCAATATTATTCAGTATTGCACTATTAAAAAGTTCAAAAGAAGTGTATGACTGAAGGTTGAATATTTCATACTGGTGATTGTTACTGTACTGCTAAATATTTTTATTCAAAAATCAAAGCTGCCAGTGGGCGTATATTACCTTGCCTGGCAAGCTATCTTTAAGTTACGTTTTAGACTAGCCGAAGAACATCGGACTGAATGGTAAACGGTTTCGTCTAAAGAACCTAGCTGGTGACGACAGCAAAAGTCATGGACATAAATATTTATACTTACTCCATTGTGCATTATCTTTTTCTGTACCGATAATCTCTGAAAATGTTTTACCCCCACCGAAGATCTTTTCTTGTGGAAAGGTAGTTTTTAACACTCCATGGTTCCATTTGAATGTTCCATTTAGGAATGCTGTTTCCTTGGTTTTGCCAGCATATTGTTGTTGCGAACCTATCTTATCTAACATAAGATGATCTAAAATATAAAACAAAAAATAGATGTCAAGCTAAATCTGGATATCTCGTTTCTTGTTGTACGAGTAGTTACTACATTAAGCATTCATGATCTGACAGAGTTCCTCATTAAATCGTTTTTTGTAACTTTGACACATTGGCATGAAGAGCATAACGTTGTCATTATAAATTCTAACCAGTTAAAACATTCATATTTGCATTTTAATCATTCATTGATGTTTGCTGTGATGATAACTGAAATAGATTCCGGTATCATTGTCCGGTTCGCACTGAAATTTTTCTTGGTCTTTTACTAGTGCTTTACACAATGTTTGATTAAAATACCACCCGATTCGCCTATTTTTAGTTGATTCTTTCAAGAAGTTGTTAGTGGCTATTACTGATTATAACATAACAAAGGCGCCTTTCCGCCTCCAGAGGTAAATGTTAGTTGATACGAACAGCTAACAAAGGCTATCACGTTAATAATAACCCACTGCTCGCAGCAGCTAACAAAGGCTAACAATAATACTGCTGCCAACAGCTAACAAAGGTTAAAATTAATACTAGAAAAATATATTCATAATTTCATGGTTATACCTAGACCCGGCATTCCTTTTGGCTCGGCGGAGTTACCAAGACATGGCTATTGTTACTAGACCTCAGGTAGTGCCTAGGTATTGTTACTAGACCTCTGGTAGTACCTGGGTATTGTTACTAGACCTCTGGTAGTACCTAGGTATTGATACTAGACCTCTAGTAGTACCTGGGTATTGTTACGAGACCTCTGGTAGTACCTGGGTATTGTTACTAGACCTCTGGTAGTGCCTGGGTATTGCTCCTAGACCTCTGATAGTACCTGGGTATTGTTACTAGACCTCTGGTAGTGCCTGGGTATTGCTACTAGACATCTGGTAGTACCTGGGTATTGTTACTAGACCTCTGGTAGTACTTGGGTATTGTTACTAGGCCTCTGGTAGTACCTGCGTATTGTTATCAGACCTCTGGTAGAACCTGGGTATTGTTACTAGACCTCTGGTAGTACCTGGGTATTGTTACTTACTAGACCTCTGGTAGTACCTGCGTATTGTTACTAGACCTCTAGTAGTACCTTGGTATTGTTACTTACTAGACCTCTGGTAGTACCTGGGTATTGTTACTAGACCTCTAGTAGTACCTGGGTATTGCTACTAGACCTCTGGTAGTACCCGGGTATTGTTACTAGACCTCTGGTAGTGCCTGGGTATTGGTACTAGACCTCTGGTAGTACCTGGGTATTGTAACTAGACCTCTGGTAGTACCTGGGTATTGTAACTAGACCTCTGGTAGTACCTGGGTATTGTAACTAGACCTCTGGTAGTACCTGGGTATTGTAACTAGACCTCTGGTAGTACCTGGGTATTGTAACTAGACCTCTGGTAGTACCTGGGTATTGTAACTAGACCTCTGGTAGTACCTGGGTATTGTTACTAGACCTCTGGTAGTACCTGCGTATTGTTACTAGACCTCTGGTAGTACCTGGGTATTGTTACTAGACCTCTGGTAGTACCTGGGTATTCTTACTAGACCTCAGGTAGTACCTGGGTATTCTTACTAGGCCACTGATAGTACCAGGGCATTGTTGCTTGGCTACTATTGCCAGCCAATTGTTACTAGGCCAGTTGTAGTACTAGGTATCATAACTAGGCCACCAATTATGCCAGGGTATTGTAACTGGGCCTCCTGTAGTATCAGGGTATTATAACTGGTCCACTGGTAGCACCGCATGGGCCACTGGTAGTACCCGAGTTATGTTACTGGGCTATTTATAGTACCAGGCTGTTGTTACTGGGCCATAAGTAGTGACAGGAAACTGTTACTAGAGACCACTGGTAGTACCTGTATAATGGTACAGCCGGGCAACCGTATCAGGTTTAGGTTGTTGGGACCGGGTTAGGTTATTGTTTACCAACTAGTACCAGTCTGCTGTTACTACGCCACTGATAGTAGGCTACCAGGGTGCTGTTACTAGACCTGTGGCAAAACCAGGCTAATGTTACAGGGCCACTAGTATAACCAGGCTACTGTTACTTGACCTGTGGCAAAACCAGGCTATTGTTACAAGGCCAGTAGTATAACCAGGCTACTGATACCGGATCTCTGATAGTACTGGGGTTTTGTTACTAGGCCATTGGCCATACCGGGGTCTTGTTTCTATCCACAGGCCATACTGGGGTCTTGTTTCTAGGCAACTGGCCATACCAGGGTCTTGTTTCTAGGCCACTGGCCATACCAGGGTCTTGTTTCTAGGCCACTGGTCCTACCAGGGTCTTGTTTCTAGGACATTGGCCAAACCTAGGTCTTGTTTAAATATAGGCCACTGGCCATACCAGGTTATTGATTCTGGGCCAATGGTTATACCAGGCTAATGTTACCGGCCACTAGTTATATACCAATTAGCTATTAGGCCTAATTGTGACTGACTCAGTGGTTTTACAAAGCTTTTTGGGGGGGTCACTGGTTCTACCAGGCTTTCGCTAGGCCGCTAGGCTGGTGTTAGGCCTACTTTTTCTGGGCCGGTGGCTTTACCAGGCATTTAATCATGGGCCACTGGTTATACCACGCTATTGTTGCTGTACATGGGGGGTACATTGTTACTTGACCGCTGAGAGTGCTGAAATTAACAATATTATAAAATATAAAATAATTGATTTAGATCGTCTAATAAATTGGGCGATGTGACTTAGGTACGATTTTGTAAAATATTTTTACCGGTACCGAACTTATTTTTGACCTGATTCTGTAAAGGTCATCAACTCGAAAATGGAGGATTATGTTCTGCCTATGATTTTATTGCCGATCGTTGAGATTATTTACGTGGAATTTTCACAAGAGAATGCCGACCAAGGTAAAGCATTTTTAATATTGGCTCTTTAAACTTTAAGATAATGATATATAGGCCTAGATCTATAATAAGGACTTTTTGCATAAGATTATTTAGGCCTGCGGCTACTATTATTAGCGATGTAATCCGAAATGTTCTGATAATTGGAACTTTTTTTTAGATAATGTCAAATCGAGGGCTTAAAGCTACAATTAGTTATGTCCAAAATTTGCATTTTTAGAAAAATGCATTTCAAATTTTAATACTTTATGTAAAATACAGTTATGAACATTTCAAAACCGTCTTTGATTATTCTGTAAGTCCTGTTTTTACAAATGTGTTAATCCTTAAAAATCATGGTTAACATCACTGTGTTGTGTGTATTTTGCATGTGAAGGACATAACAATTTGTGGAACGGTCATTATGTACACAAAATGGACATAACTATTTAAATTATAACACAAATATTTTAATTATTGAACTATATAATAACAACATAACTTTAGATCCATTATTAATTACTGGATATGGATTAACACAAAATAGCCAAGAATTTTTGTCATTCAATATCATAACAAGTGAACTAAAATTAACAGAACATTTGAATATGCGACCAGTACCTTCTGGCTAATTTATTCAGTATCGTTACCAGATCCACTTTCATCATCATCTTCACCAGAATCTGTTTGAGCAGGTTCAGGTACAGAATCTTTGGCCTGGTTGCTAGTTGGTAGTGATTTATACCACAAGTGTAATTCATTTGGAATGACTCCCTGGGTGCATAATTTTACTAAATCATTCTTTTTTGCCTTACAAATTGGAATTAAACTTTTATAAGCCTTTTGTAAAACTAAAATTGGAGGCCGGCCACGATTGAAGACATTAATACGTCTGTACTGATCTGTATATCTATGACGATATTGAATAATACCAGGTAGGTCTTTCTGGTATCTCAAACATTTGATCAACAACCAATTAACGATGTTCCCATCATGGTCTCTCTTTCTGTTCTTCATAATGCTACGGGCCAACATCTGGAAATCAAGAAAATCATCATTGTGTAGATTATTCACTTCATACGGTCGTTTGCGCCGAGCTCTGCGGAATATTGTTATCCAATCAAGCACAGTGTAAACAGGTACATGTTTCTTTTCGCACTCTATGGCAGCATGCATGCTATCAACCTCCATGTGAGAGTGACCACTCTCCAAAAAATTGTGAGTTATTGTTTTGATAGGTGTATTTTGTACAGCATACAAAAACATCGCAGCAACATTTGATTCCTGTTCTGTCCACCACATGTATCGGAATATAAAGAAACCACTTGTACAATAGGATCTAAGGATGATAGCCATTTCAGAAGACATGTTCCAATTTCATTGCTCCCCCGCCCACCGTTTATCTCTGACCAACAGTAACAGCTAGCATCATTTGGTGCTGCCTGGCTGTAAATGCATAGATTATAAATGCAGAGTTTTCGACTGTAATATAATAATGAAACTGCACTGGATGGAATTTGTAACACACTCTGTAAATTAAAAGTGGCTGACACAAATTTTGAATTTGTTGATGCTTTTGATTTATCTCCACTTTTAGATAACTGGCTTTCAGCCTTTCGCTATATATGGGACTCATACTCATTGCGAAAAGATTCTCTCTCGTTGCCCTCAAGTAAATCAAACTTCGAGCAAACTTGGCATTGATCTTTTTTAGGATGGAAGAAACTATAATTATAATCTGTGCAGAATACACGACGGTAGACAGCTTCGCTTACTGGGGTCTTAGGTGGGTTTGAATTTTCACACACATGTGAATATTCAGCTTCTGATCGAGATATTTTCGTTTAGTGTCGCAACGGGTGTAATGCGACTCTGTAACTGGAAAACTTTCAATATGTTCTTTAATCAGTGTAACATTTTCATCAGAAGTTTTATTGTATGCTGGATGTTTACCACGTTTATCATCGCCTGCAAATGTACCAGTATCAGATTTGTCTGCAAGAGCAGTCATCAAAGGACCAGAACTTATATCCAGAGTCTTCAGGAAAAAAGATTTGCAAACTCTGAAACGTTTATTCTCTTTTGAGAAATAATACAGAATCGTCTGTTTGGGCTTACGTTTTCGTTCATATCTTGGTCGTTCACGTGCAGCTTTTTCCTGCTACAGTGTTGGCTAACAAAAAAATCCTTTTGACGATTATAATCCGACATCTTCCAGTATTCTTCACAAATTAACTGTCGATCATAATCATTGAAGTTCTGGGTGCATCTACATTTGGAGCAATCTACAGGCTGTGGGGCTCTTTGACGGACCTCCTTTCCCCTAGAGCTAACATGGGGCTTCCCTTGTTTACAGAGCTTTTTGCGAATGACTTTTTTCCATTTTCAGGATTATTTTGTCGCCATCGAGATAAGTTGGGTCTGCATCCGAATCATCAAAATCAGCTCTGTCATCAACTTCTACCGTGTTAGAATCTGGTGTCACATTTATTAATAGTTTATCAATATCAGTTGGCGGAAAATTATTCTGTGGGGAATTTGAAGGACCAGCAGTAGTATTTTCTCTTAAACAATCATCTGTGAAACTGTTAGTACAGTCAGTGGATTCTAAAATCTCCATCAAAGTATTGTTTGAAATTACTTGGTTTGTTTCTGGCAAAACTTCCATATCACTTTCAGATTCTTCTGGACTCTCAATTTCATTCAATAAATTAAGTATCGTTCTTGCAGAATCGAGACGCAATCCTAAAATAGAATGATTTGCGAGATTTAGTACAAGACTAAATCATCATAAGGTGTTTAAATTGATATAAAATTTGATTTTTTAAAGAGTTATGACACACGATGCTATTTATGCCATAAATGTTTATGTCCATTAACATTCTAAAACAAAGAAAAGTTGAATGAAAACTTATGTGATCTGAATAGATGTAAATGAAAGATGATAACATGAGTATTCAACGAGATACTTACTTACTCTTTTTGAATGACATGTCAAGGCTTTTCAGACTTCTTAAAGCGGAAACAATGCTAACAACTGTCTAAAAGTTAATGTAAACAAACGCCATGTTTTTTTGGACATAACGTTTTGTAGTTAAAAACATAGTCAGTTTAAATAGAATTAAAGTTTTTTGAAGAATCGACTATGTCCATATAATCAATTGTGCCTGAAAATTAAATTAGACTTTTGGACATACTATTTTTGGTGATGGTTAAATATAGTTTAATTTATCAAGATAATAATACAAGTTTGTGGCAGAAGAAAAATATGGATCTGATAATGTATGTGGTGTGAATATCTCATTTTCAGAAATTTTGGACATAACAACTTGTTGCTTTAAACCCTCGAAATTTGAATAGAGTTATAAAATACTTTTAAGTACCGGTACCACTCTTTAGCTTCAATTGGAGCTTATGGAGATGAGCACACCGAGCATAGTGTAATCTGAAGCATTTTTGTAATCATGATCTTCAATGACTCAATGGAAGGGCTACTTATAGTTTTTAGGAAGTTGGCCTACCTTAGGCTACATCTAAGCCTAGTGATGAACATGTTGCCGCAATTTATCGTCTTATGCGTATAACTTCTAATTTGCATGAAATTAGATCTGGGCTGTCTCACTTGATCTTGAAGTAAATCTAGCAAAGGGCCCAAAATACATTCAAATAAGCCAGTTCGGCATTATACATGTGCATGTACATGCACATTCCCAACTTCTGTCTTGGGATAAACCACGTCTATTTACTATGGCAGTCTATGACCAGCGATGGAAGAGGATATTACGCGAAGGGTTCACTACATTTACAGTTAATCCATTTATCTCTTAGAACATTATGGAAAGCAAGTAAGAATGTTCAGTTCAAAGAGTATATCATGAGTCTGACAAATGTAAATGTATCTGAGTACTATTAATAGTAAACCTGTTGTATCCTTTTCCATAAACCATCTTAGTAAATTAACATTGTTTATTTAAAGACAAAAGTACAAATTAAGCTTTTTGCAAATGTGCATTTATAAGCTTAGTTCTGAACTGGCTTATTTCATAGTACAAAAAACTGTGGTTCAGATTTTGGTCGTTTGAAATTGCTGAATTACTGACAAGGGGAAACCTGAACTCCCTTAGCTGCCAAAACTCCTTCAAATCTGTCTGCAATGTTTACACAATTGAATTTTATCACTAATTCTTATGAATTGAAATATCAATTTAAAAATATGACTGAGAATCTTATATTGCATGTGGGTTGAAGAAACTGCCAGACATTTAAAAAATGATTATTCAGAAATATGTTTTACAAAGAGCAATTTCAGTCCGAAATGTCTTGCAGGAAATATTTTGGGAAAAAAATAATTGTGTTTATTTCAAATGAACCTTATATTTCTTTGGAACCAAGGAAATTCTAAGACAGGAGATATACCTTTATAGGTACACTTGAAAATTTTATTTTGAATATTTGTAAAATGAGATGAAAAATTCAATACTAAGTTCATTATAGAAGGAGAAGTTAACTGGTCAGTAACAGTGTTAATTGTAGAGTGCCAATTCTGATACAGACCTGTGCCTCATTCTCAGATCTTTAATTTTGATCCTGACCAGCTTGAGAATTTTAGTAAGAGATCACATATCAAGCCCATCATTAAACTTTTGATTAGAAGTCATTTTGTTAAGACCATTGATATGCTAGACTCTCAAATACATAATATTCAACTTTGAAGATTCTCTAGCAGTTAGAGAAGTTGAATTTTATGTATGTGAGAGGACAGATAAATATTAATTCAGGAATCACAGGAAAGGTTGAGCTCATTAGTACTAATAAATTAATTGCCACCTCTACATTTGAGGGGCTGACATGGAAAAAGCGTCTAGTCGTTCGGATGGGACAATAAACCGAGGCCCTGTGTGCTACAGGCTGTGGACGTTAAAGATCCCTTGACCGTTGAAAATTGAAAAAGAGCAGGCTAATGCCGCCGTCCTGGCAAAATTTCCCTCATTGCACCCTGCATGGCGTTGCCAGTCTTCATTAGCTCACATGGTGCAGAAAAGTAGGACGTTAAACTCCATTCATTTCATTTCTACATTTGCAATTACTAAATATTGCATTCAATATGAGATGAAGATGATGGATCTTTACATACTTACATATTTTCATTTCACATATTCCTTAGTTTTTGTTTAGCTTGTGCTAATTTACAATTCTAAAATCTATATTGTGTTTTTTTCAGGTTAGACCTTCCCTACAAGAAGTAGAACTATGATTGTTACTATCACCACATGAATGTAAGTATATTTACTGTTATTTGAAAGGTATTATGAATGCTACCTATCAGAAGATAATAGTAAACCAAAATTACAATGTGCTGAAAATGAAGGCCATTTTGCCCATTTATTAATGAAAGGGATTAAATGACAGGGACCGATGATTTTGAGGGATTGTCAATTTGGAGGGGGGTCATTTTGATTTTACATTGGGTATGTCGCTTTTTCACATGACCTCAAGATTTAAATATATTTTATTTCATGTGATGAGATATAATTATGTTGATTGGTTGAGGACAGAATATATTTCGAAAAAATGTTTTTATTCAATGCACACAACAGACTCGAAACATTTGTTCAGAATTCAAACAAGTTTGATCTTCAAACAAATGTTTCTTGAAACAAAAAACAATGTTTTGTTTTAACACACACGAAACAATGTTTCACAGACAAAAGTCAGTTGTGTGCATTGGGCTTTAGATTGAAAGATCAAATGATGCAACTTTATTCAAAATGTCTATATATATTTTTTACTATTGTAGGTTGTGATTAAGGGTATGCCAGTGAAGAGATTATATGATATAAAGAAACCTTAAAAACTAAAAGGAAAAATGAAGCAAATAATATTATATAAGTTGCAAATAGAAAAATTTTAGTTTATAGTTGACAAGTGCTTATATAAATGTATAGCATGAAAAACTAATTATATATTGTTCAAACCGTTTCTTTGATACATGTATTTTGTAATATTATGTAATATGTAAAATGGAGTGCAATGAATTATCATTGATAAAAATCTATCTTTCTGTACTTATGTAGTTTTAGTATTTGGGTTCAGAAACTGCTTATTATCATAATGAAACAGTCTGTTTTATTCACTTAATAGTAATTGGGTGAAGAAATATCTACTAAAATACTACAGAGCGGTCAATATGATTGGAGGTCATATCTAAGGCTGAGATGCCTTGCCAAGGGTACCTTTTAATTCTGCCCCTTCAATTTCAAGAAATTGAGCAAATAAAAGCCAATTTGTAGAGAATGTATCTCTTACCTATTCTGAAATGACAGTCGCGACATTTTGGGGGTTGATTTGAGTTCTGTACTGGATGTGTACGAAGATCGCATAATTCCTTCAAAAATATCCCAAATTAGGAATTTCTTTTCCTATTTCTATAGATGTCTTTTCTATATATGGCAGTGTCTCAAGGAAAGACGAGTCGTCTTTTTAACGTCCAAACACGAATAATTCTGGACACATTGATTTGAAAGCGACGGTGAGTTGTGAACACTATTACTGATTGGCTTAGCTGACAAAATTCCCATTTCTGAGACTAAGGTAAGAATTGTATTTTACTCGTTGGATGAACGACATCACATAAATAAATCACAAAGTGTCCACACTTCCACGAAAAAACTGATGGTAAGACTTAAAACCTTGTAAATTGGTCATAGTTTAATTTCAGAACGAAAGTCTGTTCTAGCTCTTGCCATATTTGACATGCGGTAGAGAAATGATCTTGGCATGGATGTGGCTTTCTGTCGTCAGAATGAGGTAATATATTGCGCGCAATTCATAATGCCTCGAACAAATTCAAATAAGAAAACATTGCATTGTCTCTGTTTATACCCTATACAGCCCTACATACTCTACATCTCAAAAACGAAAAAGAACGAAAATGTATAACAATCTTTGTGCCTATTTAATATACATAATAAATCAATCGATGCCCATTTTCTTTATGGGCCTATATGGCATTCCATAGATGCTGTAGTTTAGAAAGGGGTTTTCACAATCGTGCGTACAATACCGGGTCTGTGGAAACAAAACAAAATTAGTAAAATGTGCACTCTTTGTATGTATTTCACATTCTTGGAAAAACTATGCTCAAGTGTGGTAGGAGACACAGGGTTACAATGCATGGAAACACGCTTCTTTTGAATATATGGGACATTCTGGGGGAGACTATGTTCAAATGTGATAGAAAACACAAGGTTTGATCTCTATCTTGCGTACAATGCATGGAAAAATAACCAAATTGGTTGATTGTGCTTCTTTGAATGTATTGGACATTCTGGGGAAACTATGCTCATATGTGGTAGATTACACACGGTTTGATCTCTATCGTGCGTACAATGCATGGAAACATAACCAAATTGGTTGATTGTGCTTCTTTTGTATTTCTGGGGGAAACTATGCTCATATTTGATAGATTACACACGGTTTGATCTCTATCTTGCGTACAATGCATTGGAAATACGTTAAATCGAAAGAATGTGTCTCTCATGTTTTAAGTTGGCATCCGTATCCTAGCATATTTAGTGAGTTCTCTTCATCCTGCAAAAAATTGCGTTGAAAATAGTCCGCGGCCAAATGGAATAGAATGCTCTTCAATTATTTACATTCCCATGGGAACAAAAAGTTGTTTGTATGGTATGACCTACGGGTTCTCTTAATATTCTTGGGCGCCTTTTTGAACGCATGTCATCTCATTCCCAAGAAACTACGGTTTCCTTGTGTCCAAAGCGACGTTGAGACATATCTACTTTTAGCTTTATGCTAATCAATAGTGAATACGAATAGTCATTTTCCTCCCATTTCTGATTGACTTGAAATGGCTTCAGATAATGCGACCGGGTGATAATAAAAGTGCTTCAGAATCTAAATTGTCAACTATATCTAGAGGGTAATATCAACAAAATTTCAACTATATATGCTGTCTGTTTTGTTCATTAGTACATTCTGGGGGCTTCATACAAAGTGGGTCTATTGATTTGACATCATTGTAATTGGGTTATCCACATCTAAAGAACGATAAATGCCTTTGCAGATTGTGTGCTACTTACTTTCTTTAGCCTCCATCAGAAAACCTCCTGACATTTTCAAGTTACAAGATGTTTTTAAGGTATCATTTACTGCAAGTTATGTTTTAAGACACACGACATGACAATAGACTCAGTACAATATACATCACGTAAACCTTAATATTTATGATGAAACCTGCTGTAGGATATCATTCTCTACAATACCTTTAAAAGTAACATTCTACAATCCAGATTTTGTCCATATCCTTGACCATTTGAAAAATAAACCTGTCAACATTACTTTAAGGTAGTGTTAGATGATGATGAGAACATGGGCTAGGTAGTATGAAGATTTATGAATATTGACAGGCAATTATTATTATAATTATAATTATCTAATAAAAACAGATTTCTCTTCTTAATATTTAATATCATCTTCAGTTATGAATAAGTATAATATTTTACTATTTGACAAATAGCACTTTAAAATTAAATTTTGTTTTTTGTTCAGTTTATCAAATAATAAATCCAATGAGAATTCCATTTATAACAAACATGACAATGATGAATTAATAAACCAAATAAACAATAAAAATTTGGAAACTCTTGCTTAGAAAGAAACGGTAGGATTTTCTTTATAACATAAAGTTTTAACTCTGCTTTTATGATCTATTTCAAAATATAAAATTTGATAATTGACAAATGCTAACTCTATGTTACTCTATACATCAATATCATCATTTAGATAAAATCCATTACTCAACAGACATTATAACAATAATCTATTCAACAACTAATCAATCTTCACAATTGGTCAGGGTATATATCTTTATCTTTTACCTTGACTGCAATAGACCACTTTCTCTTTCTTGTATCACGGTCAGCAATTTGATTAGATTGTATGCCAATTAGAGAGCCCTCTATTTCATAATAATTATTATTGACAGTTTCTTTTGTCGAGGGCCCAGATTGGCTGTATTAGCGAGTCCAATCAAATTGCTGCATTCACAAACTTCAGTGAAATAAAAAAAAGTGGGCCATTGCAGTCAAGGTATAAGATGAAGACAAAATATCTTGATCATTGTGATAATGCAAATAATCTGGATTGCTGTCAACGGGTAAGGTATTGCGCATAATTGCCAGTACTTCATATCTTCATATATCCTTAAATTCTATCACTCTTGTTCAGTGATGGCTGACTGTGGTACATCTTCAAAGAGCAACAGTATTGCTCTCACATTTCCAGACTAGGTGTAATTCATCTGAAAAAAAAAAGTTGATATATGAGATATACTTAGTCATATTATGATAATTTGATAACAAATTGGTTGTTTACTATACAGTGGTGTAACCTATTTTCGTGGATATAAGATTCATCACCGAATTTCGTCAAAGTTAAAAAAACAAAATTTTTTTTTTATGTCTTAGATGTTTCCTCAGATATTCTACAAAATAATTAAAATTGGTTTGTTTCGATTTTCTTTATTAATCCTCCACTTTGACCCATATTTCATGAGCAACCAACTCGGTAACGGCGGCAGAATGCGTCACCTATTTTCGTGTACAATGTTTGATCTATAAATAAGTCTAGAAAAACACGTTGTATGGATACCGGGTGGTATAATTAACTTCTCTTAGTATTTATCTTTAATATCAATTCATTATAACTAGTGACAATTCCTTGAAAGAACCACGATTTTAAAAAAAAAAATAGTGACTGACAAAATAAGATACGTAGCGTGATTTATTGCTAAATGTCACTGAAATAACATAACTCATAAGAATATGGTCCACTTTATGTTCCATTTACCGCTTGGGATTATAAGGAAATTCGGCCGATAAAAAATGGTGACGTTTGGTAATAACTGAAATCCGCCATTTTGTATTTGTCGAAGTATAGATTAATACATTTTACCTTGCTTGAAACTACTGGATTCATTCTACTAGCCTGATATTGTAGAGAAAACCCATGTTTATCAAAACAAAGTAATGCGAAGGTCGCTCATGTAAATTATTAATCCTTTCCGGAAATCCACGAAATTAGGTTACTTGACTGTGTACTAATAACAATTAATAATGGAACTTACCAAACTACTGTCAGTTTCGGTAACTTGAATGTCGATCTTGAAATCATTATTAATTGACAAACAAGCTGATGATAATAATGTTGGTATCTTCATAATATCTCCGCAACAATAATAGTCTTGAATGTTTAGACTCTAATTAAAATTTCAGATACAAGTCGGCTTATTGTTACATGCATATACAGCTAATTCAGCTATATAGCTAGTAGATCTAATTAAATGAAATGATGCAGCCTAATAAAGATAAGATAACAACATTATTGAACATGGTACACTATGTCCTCCTCATAAGGTCCATATCTTCTTTTTTATAATGGGCGCATTTCTTATGAAAAATTACAAAAAGACTAAAATGTTTTGTATTTCCAGGCCTAAAATGATAAAATTCTTATTTAGACAAAAGCTGAAAAGGATGTTTTCTTAAAACTAAACAAATGGCCTTTGTTGGATGCTTACGCTTCACTTTAAAGTGATTGATACGGTACTAAATTTTTTATTTGGCCCACTATACAGTTTTAGGAATGTTATCGAGACTTATGTAATCGAGACTTAACTGGCGGGAACATTGAGTTATATTTATTCAAGTCGAATCACCATAAAATATATTATTCCACTTCCATTTATCTAAATAGTGCCTATGGAAAACAATATGTAAAACCCCAAAGAACATTTTGACGCAAACTTTCTTGAAGTTTTACCATCATATATTGATAAGGTCACAAAAATTGTCAATAAAAGAAGAAACTATAAATTTTTCTTCATTTCCATTCGCTTAATGGTCAATTCGCCCCAAAACCAAAATGCCAACAGAATAATTAGGCCTATTGTTGAATTAAAGGGCCCGTTGTTGAACCTTTTTGTCAGTGGTAAAATAACGATAACTACTTTTTGCAATTGCAAGACATCATCGACGGGACAATCTCATGTGACACAGTAACCAAAATCCAAACCAATATCAATAATCTGTAGGCCCTACCATAGGTTGCCTAGTAGCATTAACCTATTGTCCAATTATAATAATCTGAGACTACAGGGGTAACAATAGCCCAGTACTACCAGTGGCCTACTAACAACAGCCTAGCACTAGTAATAAAAGCCTAGCACTACCAGTTGTCAAGTAACAATAGCCAATTCTATCAATGGCCCAGTAACAATAGCCTAGTACTACCAGTGACTCAGTAACAATAGCCTAGTACTATCAATGGCCCAGTAACAATAATAGCCTAGTACTATCAGTGGCCCAGTTACAATAGCCTAGTACCACCAATGGCCCAGTAATAATAGACTAGTACTAACAGTGGCCCTCTAACAATAGCCTAGTACTACCAGTGGCCCTCTAACAATAGCCTAGTACTACCAGTGGCCCAGTAATAATAGCCTAGTACTATCAGTGGCCCAGTTACAATAGCCTAGTACTACCAATGGCCCAGTAATAATAGGCTAGTACTGCTCGTGGCCCACAAACAATAACCTAGCACTACCAGTGGACGAATAATTGATAGCCTTGTACTACCAGTGGCCCAGTAACAATAGACTAGTACTATCATTGGCGCAGTAACTATAGCCTAGTACTATCAGTGGCCCAGTTACAATAGCCTAGTACCACCAGTGGCCCAGTAATAATAGCCTAGTACTACCAGTGGCCTAGTAATAATAGCCTAGCACTACTGATGGCCCACTAACAATAGCCTAGTACTACCAGTGGCCCAATTACAATAGCCTAGTACTACCAGTGGCCCAGTAATAATATCCTAGTACTATCAGTGGCCCACTAACAATAGCCTAGTACTAACAGTGGCCCACAAACAAAAGCCTAGTACTAACAGTGGCCCAGTAACAATAGCCTAGTAACTATAGCCTAGTACTATCATTGGCCCAGTAACTATAGTCTAGTACTACCAATGGCCCAGTAACAATAGCCTAGTACTACCAGTGGCCCAGTAATAATAGCCTAGTACCAACAGTGGCCCTCTAACAATAGTCTAATACTACCAGTGGCCCAGTAATAATCGCCTAGTACTATCAGTGGCCCATTTACAATAGCCTAGTACTACCAATGGCCCAGTAATTATATTGTACTACCAGTGGCCCAGTTACAATAGCCTAGTACTACCAATGGCCCAGTTACAATAGCCTAGTACTACCAATGGCCCAGTTACAATAGCCTAGTACTATCAGTGGCCTAATGATAATAGCCTGGTACTACTAGTGGCCCAGTAATTATAGCCTAGTTCTAACAGTGGCATAGTTAAAATAGCTTAGTAACTTTAGCCTAGTACTACCGATGGCCCAGTAACAATAGCATATTGCTATCAATAGCCCAGTAACAATAGCCTAGTAACTATAGCCTAGTACTATCAGTGGCCCAGTTACAATAGCCTAGTACCACCAGTGGCCCAGTAATAATAGCCTAGTGCTAACAGTGGCCCTCTAAAAATAGCCTAGTACTATCAGTGGCCCAGTTACAATGGCCTAGTACCACCAGTGGCCCAGTAATAATAGCCTAGTGCTAACAGTGGCCCTCTAAAAATAGCCTAGTACTACCAGTGGCCCAGTAATAATAGCCTAGTACTATCAGTGGCCCAGTTACAATAGCCTAGTTCTACCAATGACCCAGTTACAATAGCCTAGTACTACCAATGGCCCAGTTATAATAGCCTAGTACTACCAGTTGCCCAGTAACAATAGCCTAGTACTACCAATGGCCAACTAACAATAGCCTAGTACTAATACAGTAATAGTGGCCCACTAACAATAGCCTAGTACTATCAGAGGACCAATGATAATTACTAGGCCATGTCCCACAAACAATAGCCTAGTACTATCAGTGGCCCAGTTACAATAGCCCAGTACAACCAAAGGACCAATGATAATAACCTAGCACTGCCCATGTCCCAGTCACAATAGCCTAGTACTACCAGTGGCCCAATAACAATAGCATAGTACTATCAGTGACCTAGTAACAATACCAGTAGCAATAGCCTGATGCAAC